GATCTACATGTGCCTAATGTTTCCGTTTATCAACGTTATATTTTAAGATCTGTGCCAGAACTCAGCTAACAGATGTTTCCACATATAAGAGCTATCTTCAAATTTTGTACACCAAAAAAACTTTTCAAATAATGAAGATTCTGAGATGTGTTTATCTGTTGAAAATAAAATAGCTAAACAACTTAAACAGGGCTACTAAATCAAAAACAAAACATCATAGCATATATAATTAAGTCCAATTTAACTTTTTATAAAACTGATATATCTATGAAATAGAAATGATTTTATTTAAGAGAATGTTTTAATACAAAAGGGAATTATTTAAAGGAGCAATATAGGAACAGATTGTCATAATTTCAAACATTATTACCTTTAAACACTGCCAGTTTCTCTTTTCTTCACATACACTGATTATGGAGTAGTTCTGTGATCTTTGTAGCCACACTACTATTAAACGACTATTGTCAATCCAAGCAACTTGAGTAAAGTAATGTTCCCTGAAATGATCATGAGTAAATTTACTACATTATATATATATTTAATAGGTATCATACTATAAAAAAGTAATATCAACTGGTAGTAGAGCACATCACTTAATCCATTAAGGTATATACAGGTCACAATCAATATCATTTTGTAATTATAATCAACAAACAAGAAACATAACTTACTTCATCAAATTTCATACAAAACATAATCACAACACAAATAAACAAAATTATCAATTATATCTACTCCCAACTCAAACTATTAATATTACATTGCTTAATTATTATTAAGCTTTATAATTAAAATCACAACTACACTTCAAAATTAGTTGAAATTAGCAATAAATTAAACTCCTACATTTAACTTTTGACATTCCTCTAAACAAAACTCATTACACTCAGAAAATAGTGCAAAATGATAAAAAATAAATTTAAAAAAATTGATTACTGGAAATGGGGCAATTATTATTAAACTACACATTCATGCCTTTAATATTAATAATATTCAACTGCTTCTAAAATTTTAGTTTTAACTAAAGTGTTGTTTGAAATAAAACGTGTTAAAATGTAGTGTGATATATTACTTCAATACTGTGTGCATTAATACATTTCACCTGTAACAAGAATCAACATCACAAGGTAATATGTTACTCCAGTGTCAAACTAGTTAATTTATAGCTTGTTTACTTTGGCAGGCATTAAAATCATAACAGACAGAAACGTTGTCTCTCACTAAGTTATTCATTTAATTCTAAATCAAGTTATTGCTACGAATAAGAAAATAATATTTTACAGTAAGATACTGCTACTGGACAAAGTATTATTTTATTTTTCAATATTACTTACAAATTTTTAACTTATCCAACATCTAAATTTGTTTATTGAACAGAATTAATTAACAAAAGGGTATTTCAAACAAAACATTAAAACAAATCAGAAACAGTTGAGAAAAACACAGAGCATTAGCAATTACTGAAAACAAAAATCAAATCTGTGTTCATAATTTACCTTATGATGTATGGTTAGTTTTAATTAAAGATATAACAGAGACCAAGATTATAAACAAACTAACTGTAAATGTTATATGAAAAGATATGAATACGACAGAGATTACATGCAATTTTGCCATCATAGATTTGATGTATTCTAATGTTTTACCCATATTTAAAGTTGCAAGAAATGGTGGATTTCCTCAACCTTAGCTTAAAAATGATTCACAATTTCCTGTTTATTTTAAGTGTGCAATTTCAAATTTCTTTTAGACAATCGTTAGCACCTAATGGTTTTCTTGACAAAATAATTAGGTCATTCAATTCTGACCAACAGCTAAATGATTTGCTGGATTAAAGTTACTTTAAAATTGTTCTAAACACATTGAAGTTATTATTATAAAGTATTGTTTTCAATGTTAGCCAATGTAAATGAAATGTTAACTAAATTATCATGTTAAAAAACAGACTGAAGTTAACATTTAAATTTAAAATATTTGCATTTTAACAAAAATGTCAAAAATCAAAAAACAAATGTTGAAACATTTAAATTCTAATATTCAATGTTATTTTGAGTTTTATACTGATTTTATAATTAAACATTTATTTTCAATGGTGACCCTACAATGTCAAGGATGTCTCTACTAAATGTAATAAGCTCAGTGAAACCTAATCATTGTGAGATTCTCCTCTTACATGAAATTCACGGAAACTAAGGAAAAATTCTGAATTTGTAGAATTAAATTGCAAGCCAAGCACTTACTTATCTTTCATTTCACGTGGTAATACAAGATCTCTAGGTACAGGCTTGCTACCTAGTTCCACAACTTTAAGAGTGACCTCAGGATTAGTAGTACCTGGCTGCATTAGAAAAACATATGATATACGTAATACTGTTTATAATACTCCTTGTAACACAGAGCTTCAAATGCTAAGACATGGCAGAATATTCATAAGACAATCTCTATAGCTACATACTAAAATGTTAGTTACAAAACATAAAAGTATGCCAATCATATAATAACAATTATTTCAGATACAGTCATGTGAGTTCCTTTCTGAATAAACACACAGGAGCATAAAATATACTTTTAATAACATTTCAAAAAACCTTAGCTTAAGTAGAAACTCCTGAAGTATTTGAGCAAATTAAGGGTCTTTGTAATGGTTTTCCTAATTTGTAAAGATATAAAGTGTCAACCATGGGAATAGTCAGGGGTGAAATTCTCAAAAAAAAAGTAGAGGTACTCGACTGGGTGAAGTTTACCTGTTTTTGAAAAAGAAAATAAATCTACGTGTAAATATAAAAATGACAAAACAGCTCAAGTAAGTTCCAGTATTAATACTGCCTTAAAAAATAAGTTCTGATACTCAGTACCAATGAGTACCAGCAGAATTTCACCCCTGGGAAAAGTATCTGTAGTGTTTTCCATATTACATGTCAAAATATTTGTAAAATATTTTTCCCACATCTAATATAACTAATTAACAGCTTGGAATAACAAAGTATATATTAAACTGTTCAGTTTATTAACTTAACCTTAGTATCATTATATAAAGTTCTTAATACACAATTAATTACTTGCTTTAATTTGTACTTTGTTATTAAAAAACATAAAAAATATAAGCTTTACATACCTTTGGATATTTTGTGCTAATAATTTTTGGATAGATATTATTTTCATCTTCATAACTGCCATACACAGAATATTTCATTTCTTTAACATAAGTGTCATCAAAAACTGCATAACAGAGTTTCTTCCCATCATCTGACCACCAGACAGCATGGTTTGTTTCTAATATTTCCTCTGAGAAGAAGAATTAGTAGAATGTAATAAGCAGAATGTTAATGTCAGATTTTCATTTCTAAGAAAACTTGAACTAATGGTACTGCTGCTTACAATAAACTTTGTTATACCCATTTTATTCTACATTCACGACTATACGACAATAAGTTCAAACTGTATTCTTTGTAAGTTTGCCATACAGAACTACTATTAATAAATACTTATAGCTAATACAAGCCTATTACAGCATATATAGTTTTAATCTTTAAATTATCTAGCAACTTTATACAACTGCTACAAATGTAATAAAACATATCCAATTTTTCTGTCACAACAGAAAGTTAACAAACCTTTAATAATAATGTCATTAGAGTAAAAACTTCAACAAGGGTGACTTCATACAATCCTTTAACCAAATGTGTATAGGGTCTAATGCACCAGCTATGTGAATCTACATGAAATGTGGCAAGCTTTTAGTAATATGTACAAGTCTGTTGTACACAGAAAGTCAGGTGCATTATAAAAGTATTCGTACTGAAGATATGTCTCTGAATTGCTGACATCAGTCTGTCATAAGTCATAAGTCATAGTGCAAGTGATTTTCGCATGAAGAATAAAAATACTTTTATCAATTGTATAGTTTGTATATTGCATTTGCATAACCTCTAAGATCTGAGAAAGGCATATTTACCAGTTTCTTCAGTATCCCTGTATATTGTATCTGGTAGTTACTCTCCTGTACCATAAACTGTTGCTAGATCAGCAATATAGGGTAAAATGGATAGTTGATAACCCTGACATCAAATATACCTGTTGAATGGCACTCTATAAAAAGTCATGATATGCAAACTTTGACCCCCACCTGTGCACATAGGACTAATGAAAATTTGACTCTGGACATTATTTAATCGCCAAGTGTAGTTCCACATAACTTTTCAACAGTGGTAACTTCACACAAAAAAGTCAAGGACAAAATAATTCAGACACAGTAATCCCTAAATCATGATAATCTAGCACAGATAGTCCTGAATAGTGAATCTAAGCAATCATTCTTTAGTACCATTAAAGCTCAACAGAAAAATTCAGCAGAAGTATAGTTCCATAAAACTGTTCAATAACAGTGGCTTCAAATAGTCCCTCAGTAAGAATGATAAGGTTGCTTAAGACCATTCTTTTAGAGCAGCAACTCTACAAAACTGTTTAAAGATTAAACAGCTATTAATGATAATAAATTCACACAACCCTTCACTGATATTGTGACAGTGATCAATCCTTCAAAGATGATCTGACTACAAACATCTAGACACAAAGATCAAACAAACAATTCATTATAGTAAGTAGAAAAATGTGAAGATGATAAAATAAAGAAATTAGACTTTTAAATATAAGTCACCTTGAAAAACTATGGTTGTATTTTATTTTCTTGATTATATTTTGAGCAAATGTTATTTTTCAAGCCAGAAATAAGCCTATCAGTTAATGAGAACTACAGGAACGTTTTGAAAGGGCACAATACATAAGAAAAGAATGTAACAAGAGATAGAACCATGAGAATTAATCAATATAGTAATTACAATATAATAAAGTTAAAGAGCTGGTCATTAAATAAAGGTAATAAAAATTATTAAAAATATAAAAACAAGTTTGCAAAGCAAAGAAAGAAGTAACTTAAACATTTTTAAGGTAATAAATGATGGTTATTTTAAAAATTTTATAAGTTAAGCTGAACTATTCCTTAATACTCAAAGGACTTAAATAACCCAATATGAAAACGATATATTTTTTTCTTGTGGTTCTTTGATTGATGGTATTTCTTGTGGTAAGTATTTTAAAATGCTCAAGGGAATGAAACAACTGTAATCAAATTTACATAGGAGAAACTAGCTGAAGGAACACTTACGTAGCATCTTCAATAAAGATCAAGATAAATTTATAGCTCAGCACTTCAACAAAGCTGATCATTCCCTTAAGCACTTTAAAATACTTGCCCCAACACATGCCCTTTCCAACACCAATCAAAGAACCACAGTCAAAAAAAAGAAATAACTTTGAAGTTGGGGTTTTTTAAGTCCTTTGGGTATTAAAAAGCAGCCCAGCGTTTTATAAAATGTTTCAAATAACCTTCATTATTACCTTTATAATGTTTAAATTATTTCTTTCTTTGCTTTTTATTACCTTTTATTAATCACCGGCTCTTTTCTTCAGTCTTATTATATTGTCATTACTATATTGATTAATTCTCGTGGTTCTATCTTGTGTTATATTCTGTTCTTGTGTATTGTTTTTTTTTTCAAAATGCTCCTGTAGTCGTCATTAACCAAAAGGCTTGTTTCTGGCTTGAAAAAAGAGCATTTGCTCAAAACATCTCCAAGAAAATTAAATAAAACCATAGTAGTTAAGTTGCTGTATTTCCAAAAATCTAATATTTCTATTAATGACAGTAAGTTGACACAACCCTTCACTGATTCTGTGACAAATTAATCCCTCAATGATGATGTAACTTCAAACAGTCTTTCACATACATGGTGGAATAGAGGAGGGGGGTTTACTGGAGGCACTTACCAAAGTGACCCTTTGAATAGAGAATAAACTTTTGAATAAATGCTATGGAAATTTGCTGTTTCAGTTTTGAAATCAAAGACAATGGTTAATGCACTAAATATGGTGCTTCCAGTAGTCACTGCCCTCAAAAAGTCAAATATTTTCTGCTACCTATGGTGTTTCAGTAACGGTTACTGCACACAACCCTTTAATAACAATGATGCTTCATAATCTTTAAATGTCAATATGAGTTCATAGAAACATTTTTAGTAATTTCAAAAAGTCCTTCAGCAACTGCATGAGTCCACAAAACAATCAATGGCAGTGAGTTTTATACAGTGTTTTAATGATAAGAGTTGTACAAAATCCTTTAACAACAAATGACTTCAATCAGGTAAGCTGTCAGTGACAGTATGATTACAGGAAATCTCTGATGGCAGTGTGATATCAAATACACTTTCCATTAAAGTGGAATTAAATACAATACTTTAATAATGATTTTACTTCTACACTATCAATAACTATGAGACTTCACTTAATCAGTCAGCAAATTTAATTCAACACAAAACTTTAATGAAAGTGTAATGCTACACAACCATTATGTGACAATCTAACTCTACATAATCTTTAAATCACAATGTCACTCCACACTGGTGATAGTTTGTCTGCAAACAAATCTTTAATGGCAGAGTGAATTCAAACAATCCAGCAGTTGTAACATAACACAGGTGTATTCTAATATTTATTGTTTAAGAGTAGACTCAAAAAAGAAAAAAGAAGTTACCTTTAAAAACCCAAATATATATAATAATGAACAGATTCATGATTGAGAATATCTGAATAATTACACCAGTCTTCAATAACTGTGGTTCCAGTTGTAATTAACATATACTTCATTTATAACATTAGTTTAATTTTCTTAATTCTTATGCAATTTTAATTGCATGTACAGTAATTTAAGTACAGCTGATAAGCTCATCTTTAATCCAAAAGAAACACAGTTAAAAGTATTGTATATATAGGTTTTTAAATAAAATTAAAACTGTAGTATTTAAGATGCTCCCACCCAGTAGTTTAGTTGATAAAACAAAAACTTAGTGAATCTCAAGATATATCGCATTGTATATGGAAAAAACGTAAGCAAGAAGTATTATATTTTTTTCATGTTAAATGTTTATTTGAAACAGGAATACTTGAAAACTCTTTTAAAAACTTTTTAAAGGCAAAATGCTTGAGCCAGTTGATTTGATTTAGGTTTTTTAAATGAAATAAGAATACAAAATAACTGAATAAATGACTAACAGTTTTAACAAAAAGCAGAAAATAGTAACAAACAATGATGCATGTTTTGTAAACAAAAATACTTCCAAGTGCTATTATTTATTGAAATATTTATTTCATAAAGTGATTATGTGTTAACATTAATCTGTCCTGTTAATTTGAAAGACTCTTTAATTGGTATATTTATGATCTGCACAATAAAATGGCTTTTTTTTGGTACTTCATTAGTTTTTTTAAAGCTAAACAATTTATGTAGGATTTCCCTAGAGCATTTACAAATAGTTTTTAATTTTTCAAATCATTCAATATAAGTATTATTTATTGGCTTTTGGTTTGTTTTTCATATTTATTAAAAGCTACATAAGGGCTATTGCTAATGGTCCCTAATCTTGAATTGGTAAGTTATAGAGAAGGCAGCTAGTTAACAGCAGCCTCTGCTACCTATTAAGCTATTCTAAGCAAGTGGTGGGATCCAGAGCCTAGTTTGCTAGTTTAAAGAAAAATATCCTTAAGTAAATCAGCTATACAGTGATCACAGTTTATTCAGTATTAATGACTTAATTATAGTTTAATTTAAAAAAAGTTATATTCTTCAGTTGTAAAAACCAAATCATAAAACTGATGCAGTGATATACCTTCATAAATCCAGTCGGGTATTCCATTGTAAATTATTCCATCTTTACCATTGATGGTGATTTGTATAGGGTTGGCACCCACGCTTGGTATATAATAGACATTATTTTTCTTCACAAAAACCTGCAATTGAAAGCAAACAAATCAAAACTTATCTTTGAAATATTAAGGTTATTAGTACTGTATCATAAATCTTGTTTATTTTATCAAATGTTTGATAGCAAAGGTAGTTTTTAAGGCTGCCATTAAGTTTAACTAAAGTTCAGGAGTAAAGATGGTCATGATCTAATTTTTTTTTTTACATGCACACTGTTCTGTGAAAACAGAATTGTATGCAGCACAGAGCACTGTGAAAATATTACAAAAATTAAGAGATTGATGTTATGTCCACAATTATTAGAAAGCTTATAATTAATGTGACATTACAACTACAAAATGTCATACTTTACCACATTACTTATGATACAAAACTTTTATAGCATCTTTGTTTGATCATTTATTTATCTTATCCAGTAGTCTCATAATTTTCAGAGGCAACCTCATCCCTCAGTGGATGGTTTTGAAAAAAAAAAAAAAAGATTATTTGATGCATAACTGAAATAACCAGTTATTCTCTTACTGATTTTTGTAAGGTTTAACTAAGCCTCTGTAATTTAAAGTATTTGATTCTGGAGGAGAAACAAATTTCTGAGTTTATTCTTCTGTAATATTTAAACATGCAATCTGATATTTAGGCTCAACTCAAAAGAAATAATTATTTTTTAATTGAACTTGATTTATATTATTCTGTGATCTCTGTGTATATGATGTCACCTATAGTTACGTTCTTTGATCCAATTAATTAATTAAAATTACAAGAGCACTTATATGAAAGTGGATGTAAGGTTTCCATTCTATGTACTCTTATTATGAATGCAAGTTAACTTGTTACATTAATTAAACAGCCTTGCATTAACTACAAGGGTTTTCAATCTAAAAGATATTCTTGTAAATTGATATGTGTATAAGTAAGATTATTGTAAGTTAGTTAATATTCCAAATATACATATACATACTTAATAGTTAATATTTATGATAAGCACATTGTCGGGTTTTAATGTATGGGCTGGATTCTTTACAGTAGGTGTCTGTGATGTGTTGGTAATACATTTCAACAATAAACAAACAGCACACAGTCCACTTGTTTTAAAATTATATGTTAAAACAAGCCACATGTATATAAAAAATGTTTGTTACACTGTTGGTTCTCACAGTTGTATCCAAAGCTTTAAATAATTGTTTCTTTTTGCAAATTCCAAATAGGCTGGTTCAGTTACTTTAGAACACAATTGACAAGACAAATTCTTCTTCTCTACTCAGTTATTATAAATCACCACTATATGCTCTTTATGGGTAAACTCAGAATCATGCGGTTGAGATCTATCTATTCTATATCAAACTACATTTTGGATGAGTATTTATAGCCTGACAGAGGCCTACAACATTTCATACACTAGGAGATATTATGATGCAATAATACTCAATAAAACAACAAGAAAACCTAGAAGGTTCTAGTAACATGAAGCAATAATATAACAATAACCAATTCAAAACAACTGAACTACACAACGTATGATTCATAAACAGTTATGTAAACTAACCTGCAATAAACACTTGCATTAAACTTAAATTGAAACAGTCATGTATACTCAACAACAACTTTAAGAAAAATATTTACAATATTTCTTATACTATATTCAAAGACTGTTTACAGTTCATGCACAAAATCTACTCATACAATCCCATCAACATCTGCAGTCCCCTTGATGGCCTCAATGTGGAACTGGTAATTTTAGTTCTGGAGGAACAATTCCCACCTCATTATCCTCACATTATCCACAGTTTTGCACCTCTGAATGCGTGAAAGGGGCTGATGATCCGTCTGAATGATGAACTCCTTTCCATAGAGGTAGTTCTGGAATTTCCACAAGGCAAATATGATGTTCAGACATTCTCATTCAATCACAGAGTAGTTCTTTTCTCTACTCAACAACTTTTTATTGACGTACATTACAGAAAACAGTCTGTCTACATGTTCTTGCAGAAGCACTGCTCCAATTGCAACATCTGATATATCAGCCTGAACGATGGTTTGTTGAAATTTGGTATTTTAAGGATTGGGGAGCTAATATGTTCTTCAATTTCTGGAATGGCATCTGCTATGGTTGTTTCCACTTTATTTTGTTGCATTGGCATTTCTTGGTGAGGTCAGTTAGTGGTGCAGAGACTTCAGCATAGTTTGGATGAACTTCCGATAGTATCCTGCTAACCTCAGGAAGGATGCGACTAGCTGCTTGATCATAGGAGCTGGTGCATCTAGTATGCAGGTTAGCTTCTCATCTTCTATGGCTAGCTATCGGTCCCACACCTTGTGTCCAACAAAGTCCAGCATAGAATAACCAATGCAGCACTTAAATGGTCCTACGAGATACTGGGTGCAGCAGCGAGAACCAGTCTATTATCTGCTGTTCAGGTGATGGGCAAGGTATATCTGTTTGTGCTGATTGATGAAACAGTGAGAAAATGTTCTATAGTGAAAATAAAGGTGGACACTCCATACTATGTGGGAGGCCTTGAGGCCATATGTGTATGAAGGCACCCATCTACGACTTAGTGATTGGTACAGAGACATCTCAAAAGTAAATAGACACCATGATATTTATTCAATAGTTATTTAATTAAGAAAGGCATCCAACGGCTCCCATGGCCAAGCCAGTCATCTGATATGAACCCCATTTAGCATGTCTGGGCCATACTTGCTCGAGGAGTGAGAAGAAGTTCCAGAAAACCAGCATCCCATGGAGAGCTACTTGATGTTTTGCGTGCAGCATGGGTCAAAATCCTACAGGACAAAATTGCACTGAAAATTGCAAGTAGCAAATCGACTAAGTACTGATGCATATTTGTAAACATTTTTGTCAAGTTCATAATGTGAGAAAAATAACTATTGAAAAAAAATCATAGTGTCTATTTACTTCTGAGATGTCTCTGTAGTATACCAGGCAGTAAAAGTTTGAAGGAGCCAAACAGAAAGGAGACTGATGAGGCATCTGCAATCACCATAAGAGCTCAAGAAAAGAAAAGTAAGCAAGACATCAAGCCCCTGCAAGTCTCAAAAGTTGACATCCCAAATGTATGTTTACAGGAATTGAAGGAAGCACAGAAGAAAGACTCTTTATTGCAGAAATTTTGGGACAGTGCTCCGGAGAAAGTTAAGCACGAAACAAAGGGGAAAGGATTTACAGAATAAAGAACTCAAAGAGAGAGTGCTGTACTGGATCTGTCAAGGCAGTTCTACTGGGGAAATTAAACAGATCATAGTACCAATAGAATATCGGACTCAAGGGATGAAGTTAGCTCACAAGTAGAATTTGGAAGGACACCTAGGAGCAAATTAGATGGCACACAGAATCACAAACAGCTTTCACTCGTTTGGGGCCATCAGATATGTGACCAGATTCTGCAGGTCCTGTGACATCTGCCAAAGGACAGTACCAAGAGGAAAGGTAGCCAAGGTGTCACTGGGTGAGATGCCTCTCATAGAAGAGCTGTTCAGCAGAGTAACTGTGGATTGACTGGATCACTAGCACCTGTATCCAACAAGAGCAACTGGTATGTGCTGACAGTAGTTAACTATGTGACAAGTTACCCAGAAGCCATAGCATTGCCAAAGATAGAAACAGAGACAGTATCACCAGATACCACAGCCAAGAAACTTGGCCATTTACCACTGTAGAATCCTGGTTGGTTATTTACATTAATGTTATTTACATTAATATACATTTTCTTGTCCTCAGCATAGCCTTCACCTATGAGCATGTTGTGACTTGTTGGCACCTCTGAATGTTTGTCACATGCTCCAATCACTATTAGCACTGTTAGTCCATTTGCTAACTTGAGCTGACTATCAATCACGCTCTGGTTAATCATGCCATCTTTCTGTTCATGAACTTTGGGCTGCTTGGATTGGCTGGCCCTGATCTCATTGTCATTCTTGGGTCCTCTGTCTTTCTGTTGAGTGAGCTTGAAAATCTCAATTTTTGCTCTTATTCTCTCTATTTCCAGTCTCTCCTTTCTCTCTCTCCTTTCTTAAAGGTTTGGGCTCATATTTCATGCTCATGTTCTGCTTTCAGTATTTCTCTTTTTTCTTCTCTTTTCTACCTCATTTGAAGCTCTTCTCTCTCTCTAGGTCTTGTTGTTGTTTAACAAACTTTCTTATATCACCATCATTAAGCCCAAGTCACTTGCCTCTCAAAGTCGGTTGACATAGTTGTTTACCACTGTGCAAATATAGGTCTACTTTTGCTTGCTATTGTTTACATCTTTGGCCATTTACCACTGTAGAATCCTGGTTGGTTCACCACTGTCAGGTTTTATATGTAAGGTGAATTCTTTACTGTAGGTATCTGTGACTTGTTGGTGATAAATTTCAACATTAAACAAACAGCAAACTGTCCACTTGTTTTAAAATAACATATTAAAACAAGTCAAATGTATATACAAGTGTTTGTTACACTGTTGGTAATCGCAGTTGTATCCACAGCTTTAAATAATTGTCTCTTTTTCAAAGGCCACACAATCTGGTTCAATTACTTTAGAGCACAGTTGAGAAAGACAAACTATTCTTCTCTCTACTCTGTTATTACAATACAATATTTAATAATTTCACTTTGAAAATCGCCACTATACACTTTTTATGGTTAAATTCACAATCATGCAGTCTAGATCTATCTATCTAACTAGCTTTATCTAACTATCTCAAACTATATTTTGTATGTGTATTTATAGCCTGACAGTTATAGAATGTTCCACACATTATGAGATATTATGATGCAATAATACTCAAGTAAAACAAGAAAAACTTAGAAGGTTCTAGAAACATTAAACAATAATATATCAATCATCAATTCACAACAACTGAACTACACAACATATAATTCGTAAACAGTTATGTAAATAAACCTGCAATAAATTATCACTTCTAAATATAACTAAATTTAAAACTCGTACTATATTTAAAGTATCTAAGTCATAACCCTTGTGTTAAACTTAAACTGAAACAGTCATGTATAGCTAACACACATAAAAGTTTAGGCTGATAAGTCTATTGAAGGAGTGTGTTCATGGCTGGATTGAGGAGGAGAGCAAATGGATGTAATTTCCCCAGGCCCCATGGTTTAAGTTGCTCAATAACTATGAGAAAAATATTACATTTATCATAAAAGTGGATATCTTATTTAAAAAAAAACATATGTTTACAGCTGTGCCACTATGACAACAGTATTCATCCCCTTAAGTCAGTACTTGGTGGAAGCACCTTTGGCAGCAATACTTCTGTGAATCTTTCTGGATAGGTCTCTACCAGCCTGACACAATGGAATGGTGTCATTGTTGCCCATTCTTCTTGGCAAAATGGCTCCAATTCTAACAAGTTTGTTGGGGATTGTTGATGGACCACAATCTTCAAGTCTTGCCAGAAATTTTCTATTGGATTCAAGCCAGGGCTTTGACTAGGCCACTCCAGGACATTCACTTTCCCTATAACATGATGCTGCCACCACTATACTTGACAGTTGAGATGGTGTTGACTGGGTGATGTGCTGTGTTGGGCTTGCACCAGACGTAACACTTTGAATTTAGAGTAAAAAGCTCAATTTTTGTCTCGTCTGATCACGAAACCTTCTGCCTCATGTCTGCAGTATCATTTACATGCTTTGTCGCAAACTCCATAGGAGATTTAAGATGATTATTTTTCAGTAATGGCTTCTTTCTTGCCATTCGCCCATACAGACCAGCTTTGTGTAGGGACCAGGATATTGTCGACGTATGAACACTGACTCCCATCTCAGACATGGAACTTTGCAAATCTTTCAAAGTTACTGTTGGTTTTACAGTGGCATCCCTAACCAATTTCCTGCTTGCCCAGTTGCTTAGTTTGGAAGGGCGGCCTGATCTGGATAGTGACTGGGTGGTATGAAATACACTTAACTTCTTAATGATGGACTTTACCGTATTCAAAGGAATAATCAGCGACTTTGAAATTTTCATGTTTTCCTGATCTGCTCTTCTCTACCAATTTATCCCTGACTTGTTTGGAAAGCTCCTTGGTCTTCATGGTTGGTTTGTCGCATCACTATGCAACTTGTGACTTGAACAGATACATCTACTCTGAAATCAAGTTAAACTACTTTGATTATATGCAGACAGAAACCATTATACTAATTTTGTGACCTTTCAATCTAATCTTTTGCACCTAAATTGATTTAGGGTTTCCATAGCAAAGAAGTTGAATGCTTATGCAATTGAGAATATCCTAATTTTCTTTTAAAATCTAGCTTACTTACATAATATCAGCATTTTTCTAGCTTTCTCAGTTTGAAGTAGATAGTGTAGATTCTAAATATAAAGTCCCATTTGAAAGTTTCATGATTTCAATCTCAGACAGCAACAAAATGTGGAAACTTTGCAGGTGGGGTGAAAACTTTTGTAAGGCACTGTACACTTTCTGATCACCTACCTACAAAAAATCTCCAATCACTCTTGATGATCTATGTGGTATTGTAATTACAAAAAATAACCTGTTTAAGCTTCATCTACTCTCTAAGTATTCTGAAATTGTGCACAAAATGTATTGATAACCTTTTAAAACGTTTAAGCTTACACCAGGTTCAGGTATACAATTTGTTTATTTATATTTATATTCTGAGAAAAGCAGATGTATAATTGTGTTAGGTAAGTTGAATCTGTACATTTATTTTGGCCTAAGTATATGTGCATATGTTAACATAAACTTATGCAAATAAAAAAAAACTCATCAACTAATTCTGTTTCATATTTGGAAAACATCTGTTTGTTATTTATAATAAGCCGATCATTTAACAGAATCTCAACCAGAAAATTACTCTGTACACTATCACAAAAAATAGATATGTTTGACTTTATTCAGATATTGTATTAATGATGCCTGACTAAAACTTTTAAAATACTGATATTAATTATGTTTAAATAGAGTTTAAACATTTAAGAAACCCTATTTCACACATTCATGCCAGAGTCACGTTGCATTGAGTTGCGAGATAATCCATGATTAAAATCAGGAGCCCTATAAATTATTTATCAAGTTAAGTTTCTGAGGTCTGCTGCTGAACATCTTAAGGAATTTCATATAATGTCTCAAAGAAATAAAATATTCTTTTTCCTTGTATTTGTATGGAGTATGTATTATGTGGTTCAAATGTAATAATCTACAGCAATTAAGGTTTTTTTTAGAACACTGATTCACTGGGTAGTATTGATTGTTAGCCATAAATCTAAAATATTTTGTTAATTGCTGTATAATTTATGGTTTAAAATAGTGAATGGAAGATCATGTGTATTATATGTTCCAGAAAACAATAGCTTGAATATAAACATCTAGAATGATTCTAGACTAAACCATGTGTCATTTAGAGGAAACCAACAACTTTACATACTGACCCTGGTAAATTTTAAGTATACATTCTGTTACCTTTAGTTCTGGATGTCTGTACATGTTTTTCCAACATAGTTTAAAAATGCTATGTTTATGTACATTTACCAGAAACACTTCTCATACAAAACAACTAATATTTTACAAAGAAATGACCACAGGAAGAAAACATGAATATCTCACTGCATGTATTACTCAATACCCAAGCACCATAGAAAATAATTCAAACTTAATACCATATGTGGACCTACCATCTGATTATGAACCGGTCCCCAAGCTGCATACTGTAGCTCCTCATCATCCTCCAGGGGGAGCATTTCTCTAAACAATCAAAAGAGAAAAGTTGAATTAAAGTTCCCATATTTAAGATATCTAAATTTAATAGTCATAGATAATGTTTTTAGGAAAAATCCATTTCTAACAAAGAAGTTACAACTATAAAAATAAAAAAAAATTATTTTATCTCCCAGTATATTATAGTTAGATAAGTTGTAAGTGTGTATAGTCAATATGTAACATCTAACTTCTGACATTAAGCAAAGTAACAATAACAACTCTCATATTTTCTCTCAGCTTGTTATTTACTCTACTATTTAAGAGAATGATACATCTTTTTACTAAACATCACTAAACTCAACATCAAGTACATTTTCATTAATCTACTTTCATTACACAATTAACCCTATTGGTACGGGTACCCTTTACTGTGCATGACACAAGGTTTTAGTGTCTTGCATTCAAAATTTTATTAAACTACTTTTTGTTTACGTTATACCAATTACAATAGCATAAAATCTTAGCTAATAATCCATATTTTAATAGTATACAAGTTTTAAGTTCTTAATTCTAAAAGGAAATATATAAAAAAATCCTGAATTTCCACTACTGTAACACACATGACGAATTTTTTCTTAGCATGTCATCATCCCTATTTTATTCATCACCTCTCAAAAATGTACAAAATTAAATGTAAAATGCTCTCTATTAAATCATTATTGCTCAAACAGACCATAATTTTTATGGCCTTCAATTTTTTTGTTACAGAGCTATCAAAGAGGAAATCAGACCCCTCCTGCCACATCCTCTCTTTCACAATTGGTTGATAGTTCTCTCTTACGTTTCATTATATATTATTCATAATCAACAGAAAGTCAAGATTTTTCATCTATCAAATGGTGTATTGTATAACATTGTGTTCTGAACAGATAACCGTCACTCTGAGTAGCAACTTCGTTCCCATGGGAAAGTTAACGACTAGCTTGGATGAATTTGTAAGGGCTCTTGTCTCATAGTTAGAAAGCCATGAAAATGTTTTGAAGTAAGTGAATTTGTCTATTTTTTGCATGTTATTTGTCTATATTCTTTGGTGTATTATTTAAGTAAATTAAAATTGTTAAATGCTTCACCATAATTGCTAAAAAAAAATCAGGCTTAACAATCGAGGGTAAAAAAAAGAAGATTGAGTAAGTACTTTATTTCTTGTTTTTCATATTTATCTTTATTTATTATTATAAAAGTATCTAAAATTAAAAGTACGGATCCTTTTAAGTTATTTAAGACTAGAATAGGTAAATTAAGTAATAATAATATTATAATTAAAATTGTTGATGAAGCACGCATGCGAGCAGCTTGTCGGTAATGTAATTTGATAGCGTATTGTGAACTGCACGTTCCCCGAGTGATTTACAAATTATAATGGTGTGGATAGCAATTAGACATGCTTCAAAGGACAATAAAACAATAAAATTTAATTATAAATAGATGTATAACGTTACAAACTTAGAGCTACGTAGGATAAACAAATGTAGTTTCAGGTTACAATCTGAAGTCACACTAGAAAGAAAAGAAGGTTAATTTAGGTTTATTTCGATTTTTTGTGGTCGAATTGACCGATCCAGTTTTGAGATTAGGGTAGAGAAAATAACATATATACTATAAGGAGTTAGTGAAAAAAAACGTTTGAAATGCATTTAGAAGGTTTTAGGGATTACACAAAGGAAATTTGAGAGATGACGAAAAGTATTTTTGATTTTAACATGAAAATTACTTTGCACACGGACTATTCAAAACAAATACTGAATATATTTATGTACAAAACTTTATTTTATTTTATTAGAAATACTTCACTAAGAAATATGACTTTTTGTGTGTGAAAGACTTGTGATATTAACTGAAAGACTGCCAAATTTCGTGAAGATATACCCAATATATATAGAGTTATAAGTATTAAATTGATGTCATTGTTAAATGACAATAGATGGTCATGTGACTCGGTCAAATTGACCAACCCCGTGTCGGAAGAGTTAACATGAAGATACATTGCATTAACACTTAACTTTTAAAACAGTCGTCATATATTTAGAAAGAACATTACAAATGTTAGATATACATGACTGTTTCAATTTAAAATTGATGCAAGTGTTAAATTTAGTTATGTTTAGAAGCAATAGATTATCACAGGTTTGTTTAGGTAACTGGGTACGAATCATACGTTGCATAGTTCAGTTGTTGTGAATTGCCATTTGTTGTATTATTGCATCATGTTACTAGAACCTTTTAAATTTTCTCATTGTTTTAATTGAGTCCTACTCTATCATAATATCTTGTGGTGTTTGGAACATTCTTGGCCTCAGTCAGGCTATAAATATGCATCCAAAATGTAGGTTGAGTTAGTTAATTAGATATAAATAGATCAAGAGAGAGAGAGAGAGCTAGACTGCATGAGTTAAGAATAATAATTTGTCCTGTGAAATTGTATTCTAAAATAACTGAACCAGCTGGTGTGGACTTTGATGAAAAAAAAAAAGATCATTATATGAAGCTCTGGATACAACTGTTGTAACCAACACTTATAGTGGTGATTTTAAAGTGAAAGTATCACAGACTGTATTGTAATAATAGAGCAGAAATAATAAGTTGTTTTGTCAAAGTGTTCTGAAGTAACTGAACCACTCTGTGTTGACTTTAACAAAAAAGAGAATTATTTAGAGCTTTGGATACAACTATGGTAACCAACAGTGTAACAAACATTTTTATATACATTTGACTTGTTTTAATATATTATTTATAAACAATTGGACTGTTTGTTTATTGTTGAAATTTATTTTCAACAAGTCACAGACACCTACTGTATAGAATCTGGCCCATATATATAAAACCTGATGATAATGAAGGACTAAAAGGCTATCAGGATGCTACTTACTCATTTTTCAAGTCAAAAATCTTGTACTTGGCTGTGTAGGAATGTCTGTAAATCTGGTGTAAATAATAAGATACAGTGTGAATAAGAAAAACATAACATAATGAATCAGATAATAAACTAAAAGCTGTATCAGAATCACAAAATGAAAGATATATCTCTTCATTCTCATTTAGTTTCTATAATAAGAAAGTTATGAGGCTTAATTTTCTGTATTCATAAAACAACACAGATTGTTTTAGTGATGCTCAGACACAAGGGATTTTAAAAGTATGATCAAAATAATGAAGTTTTAATAAGAATTGACTAAATAAGATGAAAAAGAATGATTAATTAAACATAAATGTTTTCATAACAAAATAACAATATGTAAGACAACAGAATCATAGTTCAAACAAAAGTGGCATAATGAGATGAAAAACAATGATATTTAAAAAATACACTTAGTCATTTTAGGATAAAACAATGAAGTTACCAAAATAAGTTAGCACATCAAGATGAAACATAACTAAGGCTTAAAAAAACAAGTTATTAAAATAAAATTTCATATGGTGATACAGTTATTAATTATGTGTATGTAAAATGAGTGGTTAAACTGAGGGGAGGAGGCCTAGTCCTCCATAAGCATATGCAACAAAGGACCAAAGGGAGCTGAATCAAGATTATAGAATAATTGAAAGTATATTGTTACGTCTCCGTTTGTTAATTAACTTTCCGTAACTTCGTTCCGACGAAACTTTAGCGACACAAGTCCTTACTTAATAAAATTGGTTTATTCTTTCCGAATACAACTTTACGATACACTTATTTTCAACAATCGCGCTAAAACAAACGCTATATCAACGAACATCAACAATACTTCTGACTGCAGTTCAATTACTCACTATCTACACTCACATTACATTACCGTCACGTTGTCACCCTCTTTTATATACCAGACTACCCTATATCTAGTAAATGCTAGAGCATTCGCCAAAGTACAGGACAGTTCTAGAAAGTAGAGGGCATGAG